AAAGTCTCGTTCCTCCGCGCTTCCCGGTTCTATCGTTCTATGGTCACGCCATCCACGTGAAAATCCATATCCATGTATTATCCATATTGGGAGAGGCTAGCTCCGTCTCAACACTGTGTGTGTGTGGGGGGCGATAGCTTCGTGGGTGCGGGGAGGGGAGCAGAAAGAGCGAGGCCAGCGAGTCCGCGGCTTCAAAATCCCAAAGTCAGTTAGTGCAGCTTTAAGACTGTACAATATTGGGGGAGAGGGAGGAAATAAAGTTAAAACTCACTCATGACAACCTATAAATAGTCTACAACCTAGACTAAACAGGCATAACTGCTTAACTAAGAAAACAAACATAGGACAGACTGTGCTTTCTGAATTGTGAAGGTCACATTACATTGTTAGTTTGCTAGCAATTAATCTTGCAACCCAATAATAACTTTAAGTACACAATTAGAAAAAAAAATGCAGGCAGTTGATATCAGACTAACTGAATGTGTTCGATAATAAGAGTAATTTACATGTTATTTTGGATAGATGGAAACATTGAGCTGCTTTTGTTGGGTCCAAAGGTACACAGTATGGCATTGTATTGCATTATATTGCATTCACTTTAACACGCTTTTGCACTTCACAAAAAACGTCTCGTTTCCTTTCTGAGCAAATCTGTTGATTCTTCCCATACCTGGCCTTTAACCTTACCTGGAGTGGAAAAAAAAAAGTCTGACCATGGCAGCAGATTGGTGCCCAACCCTTGTTCAAAAAGTTACACAAGAATATAACAATAAGAAATAGAATACCTTCCTAAAACAAATTTAGGTTTTAAAACTCTTCAAGGTACTATGCTGTTTGTGTCTGGCACAGTCATGCTTGCTACACAAATAGATAAGATGAATCCTCTCCTTTTTCCTAGTGCACTTTCTTGTTTTCTTGGGGGTGTTACGCTATTGCCGTCCTTGCCTTTACCAGACCCAACATAAAAATATATATATAATGATATATGTATGGTTACAGTTTCTGTTTGGTGTGAAGGCAAAAATCAAAACAGCCTTTGCCCGTTTCAGCTGAGGAATGAGCCCCGCCGACGTGAAAATCAAAGAATCTCCTGGCGGAAAGCGTGTGATTTATTCATGGCCTTTAGCTGCACTCTCAGCCACCGCATCATGGGAAACAGAGCATCACGTCACATGCACAGGTGCTTTTATGGGCCGCCTACATTATTCTTGATTGCATCTGGGTACAGTGTATCTAGAGAGTTATGCACAACCATTAAATGAATAAACAAAAGAACAAAGCTATAGTATTTTTTGTAGAAGTGGAAATCCTTCATTGGGCAAGAAAAGAAGACATTAGCTAGAGAACCTAACTTTGAAACCACAAAAACTTGAATTAAATCCATGTTTGTAGCTCTCACACAATTATATCACTAGTTTTCACATGCATGTTTATTTAACGCACATTTTTAGATTTGTTCGGTGTGGACTGTGAAAGTACCATTCCTCACTCAGTCAAACAGCTCTCATTAAAAAACTGTTTTTATTAGAATCAGAAAACAGTGGTCTGGTGTGTTCAACATTTTTTACTTAAAACAAAGCAAGTCACGTAATCCATCTTTAATTAAAAGCAATGGAATATAATCTACCTCGATTTTTTTTATTCCATTAAAACAATGTATTTTGGCTCTTAAAGATTTTATGTTCATCAGAATCAACAATAGGGCCCATCTGGACTTTAAAAAAAATCTATTTCCTATCTCCGCTGGTTTGAGGAAAACAGTGAATATCATAGGCCCTGTTTATACTGAGACGCTGCGCAGACGTTTCCAGGCTATTAACAGAAACGACCTGGCTCCTAATGCAAATTTCTCAGCGTTCACATGTGGTTGAAAAACGATGTAGTTCTAGCGCCCGGCCAGTAGTGGGCAGAGAAACTTTACAAAACTCACACGACCCCCAGCCCCGTGCCCAGCCCCCCTCTCGGCAGTGTACTCACTTCCTGTGCCAGACCCTCAGAGAGTACCAACATCATTCTGCATTTTAACAGCAGCTGTGAAAATGGGAACTGAACCTAGAGCTTCGCGTGGTCTCGTTTGGACGAACGAAGGAGTAGAATTATCCTCTGTCCCGCGCTGGAAGCCCACGTAGCTAGTTTGTGTGGGCGGCGCCATTATTGTTGATGATTGTTCTCCGCTACTGCGCATGTCCAAATGTACGTGCAGGGAGCAGCAGGAGGTGGGGGTCAGAGCAGAGGGGGATTTCACACCTATTCCCCTCTCGCGGGTGTGAAAAAACTCCCTGCTGTGCAGCGTATCTGAGTTGTCCCACTCTGCAGGCTGGATCTGAACACTTACGTTTTCACCCCCCTGGAACACAGTCTTCATATGAACGGTTGGTAGCAACCGACATCCTACTATACCGTTTTACTGCCACATTGTCTCCGTGTAAACTCAGCCATAGTTCTTTCTTTAAGAGTCAAATACCTGTTCATGTGCAAATAAGAGATGCAGAGATCCAGAGCTTGTCTGCCGCCCATTTATCCATGTTTACTGTGTGAGACACAGGGGAGTAGGTGTTTTTGAGAGGCGAGAGTGGGTGTGGAGGCATCAAAAAGGCCAAATGAAGCACTTCCAAGTGCACTGAGAGATTAGACTGCAGACTTTAGCTTCAAGATATCACTATTGATTTCCCTTTCTTTCTCCCATTTCTCACTTGGAGGAAAAATAACTTAATTACACGTCTAACTGACTCATCGCAACAGATCAAAGAGGAAGCCATCCATCCACCAGCGCAGCCTATTGAGCAAGGGCATAATGTTTGTCACGTTATGAGGCTAAAATCATAAAGGATATATTCAAGGATAATTGACTGACGAATCTGGCAATACTAAACAGCAATACAATGGTTATGGTTAAAGTCACCTTTTTATAACCATTATCTTTTCACACAGTTATTACAGCTGGTCATTCCAAATTGACAACTTAAAAGAGCATTTCTTTATAATTTAATCATAAGAGGAAATAGGTTTGCTCAAACGACAAGACAAATCACTTTTTTCATGTGAACTGGATAATTTACAAGAATAAAGCAATTGGAAATGATTGTGATGGACAGCAGCAGCCAGAATAAGGCAACAAATGCTATACATGAAAAACACACATGAATAAACATATATTACATATATTTACATTTCAAATCACACACACATATATAAACACACACACATGCATTGTTGCGAAAGTGATCATTTTTTACTTGCAACTTTTTCTTGACATTGTGAGCCTGTAATTTTAACCTCCCCTGCAGCTTGACTTTTGGGGGGGAATGTTGAACTGCTTCAAGAAGGAATATCTTATTCCCTGCATCTTTACTTGTGTACCCCTCCAGTTTCATGGGAGTAGATAATAAAGTGATAAGTAAAGACCTGAGTAAACTGAACAATGGGGACACAAACAGGAGCCCCTTGTTTGGTTTGTTTCATGTGTGCAATAAGATAAAAAAAAAAAAACAAGTTGTGTAAATGTGTTCACAAAACGTCACTTAAACAATAATTTATTTTGGTACAAACATTATGAAACCAAAAAAGCTTTAATTCACCTAAACTTCCTCTATGTGGGGACACAATTCTGCTTAAGACATCAGTTAAGACATTTTTGAGGAATCTATGAAAACAAATGTAAATGTTGATTGCGACAGCATACCAGTGCTGCCTATTCAAATTGGGGGCGCAAGACACTTAGTTGGAGCATAATTTGATATATATTAGGGGTGTCAAACGATAAATAATCGCATTGCTAACTTATATGCCAAAATTCTCTGTAAATGGTTGTTTGAATGGAAAGATAAATGACAACATAGTTTACATATGTACAATATTTGTTTTTTTATAACTACAATAAATCCACATAAAATGGCATTAACATTATTAACATTCTGTCTTTCTGTGGAGTTAGACCAAAACTATTGTTTGTTACAGGGATGAGGGACATTTCAAAACAGTCTGAAATGCAGAATGTCATTAAAACTGTTTGATTTGCTCGCAACATTTTACTTTTGGGCACAACCAACATGAACTGATAGTGGAAGGGAAAAATTAGGTACCCCAGCTTTAATTTAGCAAGAGCGCTTCGGGAGAAGACACGGAGGAGACTGAGGCTAGGTAGTCCAGCTTCAGTGGTGTATTTATTGCATCATGCACAGGTTACGCAAAGACACAAGCACAACAAGCAGAGAATAGTCCTGTGCATGTGTCGTCACGGCGGCACCGTTGTTGTCAAAGCGACAGCCGCTAGAGATGGGAACCTCTGTCCAGAGCGGCAGCAGCTGCTCCGGGTCAGAACGCTGCGGCCACAGAGGATGCAGGATCCTGTTCAGCACATACAACAAACAACAGCAAGTGCCTCATGGTCACGTGCATATTATTTTTAAACTTGATTCCCCAGAGGGCCTACCTGCTCTGTCGCCATCACTTGCATGTTCGCATGTGTCTGCAGCATTCTGAGTGATATTATGGGATGCATGGACGGGTCATTCGTACATGCGTTAAATGCGCCCTTTCTTTAACGCGATTAATGAAAAAAATTTATTAACGTATGTTAACGCAATAATTCTGACAGCCCTAATTAATAATAATATATATATATATTTATTTTTTTAGACACAAATAGATCAAATAATGCAATAAATGGCGCAAATGTAACACTTTAAATTATTACTGCTTTAACTTTTTGTCAGCAGTGGGGATTGCGAGTTGATTTCACACATATTTCAGCGTTTTCAGCCTGAAAAGCTTGCGATTCCCTGTGCTTTAGTGTTGAATATTTCAGATCAAGAAAAAACATGGGGAAAAGCCAGGGCCACTATAGCTTCCATTAGCTGTTCATGCTATGCTTCAGTGGTACATACCATCCATGTTTTTCAATGACTTCCAAAGAGACAATGATTAAATGAGATTTCTGGGTAACACTTTACATTACGGGCCGGTAAGTCCATGGTACTTACAGTGGTACTTCTAGGTACTTACAGTGGTACTTCTAGGTACTTACAGTGGTACTTACGGTGGTACTTACGGTGGTACTTACGGTGGTACTTACGGTGGTACTTACGGTGGTACTTACGGTGGTACTTACGGTGGTACTTACGGTGGTACTTACGGTGGTACTTACAGTGGTACTTACAGTGGTACTTACAGTGGTACTTCTAGGTACTTCTAGGTACTTACAGTGGTACTTCTAGGTACTTACGGTGGTACTTACGGTGGTTGACAGATTTCTGGTATGAGGATGGACCATCTTATTTTTCAGCTCTGAGTGAGACCTTGATGGATTCTGGCCGCTGCTATCAGAGCTGGGGCGTAGCGTGAAGGCGGTGCGTGTGATGCCGAATACCTGCTGATTGAAGCTGATCCTGAGGCCTGGCATGGACTCTGGTAATGGGATCAGACTGTCCGGCCCTCAGGCTGCCCGCACAATTTTCCTCCAGGGACCTCAACAAAAGGCCTCCTAGAATTGCACTGCTCTGAGCAACAAAACAAGGAGCTTTTGGGTCTCATTAACACATCCTGCCAGTGGACACCTTCACAAAATATGGCTTCGGAATCCTGTGAGTGAAATGTATGATTTCACAGGTACAGTAATGCGATGATAAATGCATCTTTAATGAGCAGGAAGAAGTGAGAATTCAAAAGTATAAGCGATACGTGTTGCTTTTTTACTCGAAGTATTTGAAATGTCTGGTCTTAGTATGAAGTGAATGAGCCATCAGTGGGCGGAGAAGGGGCCCATTGGCACAAATCATGGGCCAGCTGTGGTGAAAAACTGACCCATGATAATAATAAATACATCAAAAATAACTAATTTAGTAACAAAATAATTGTTTTGAACCATACATAGATGTTAGTGGAATTGATTATTTTATCACTCAGATCATTCTATAATATCTGCAGAATTAAATGAGTGCATACAAAGCATGTTTAATGTAACAACTCAACGAGTATCAAATAAACATATAAAAGATGTTGTTCAGGGGTGTCCCTTGAACTTTTCTTTGGTCAAAATGTGCTTTGAGAAAATCTCATTCACTGATTCTTTGGAATCTAAAACAACTAATTGATTAATCTAAAGTATAATTTGCCAACTATAATCTCATACTCTACCCCTGTTAAAGTTATTGGATGCCACTGTTGTCGCAACCAACTATGCTACTCTGGCAATCAGCTAATAGTAAACAGAAATTAAAATCAGGCCTATTTTTTAAGTATCAAACTAAAATTGATCCAATAAACAATAGTTTATTTGCACAAAGTACTCAATTTGGTATATCCAAAGTAATATTAGTAGCAAGCATGAGAAACTGTTGGCTTTGTTCTGCTGCAATGGCGAGATTAATTCTTCCTGATAAAATAACTTCTGACAAGCCAATCTGACAGGCGCTCGCGTGTGTAGGCTGTATAGGACGCCTGGGATGGCCCAAACCAGATCTCTGTAATGTATCACATCTATAATACAATCTCAGCTCATCACTTCTCTTTGAGCAACAGCTGCTGAAGCAAACGCAATTCAGCTCACAGTTTGGAATTTCATTAGAGGATCCACAGAAACTAAACCGGCCAAATCAAATACCAGAAATTAAGATCAGACAAACATAACAGACTTTCAATACAACATTTATTTGAAGAACTATAAAAACAGGGGCATTTTTTGAGTGTTGCAAATGCACTAGAAGATTACTCCTATACTTAATGCCCCAACACAAAAGATGTAATGTAAAAAAGAGCCTTGTGAGTCATTATTTGACAATTCGCGGAGACAGCTGATTGGCTGAGTGAGGGTGGTCCTCTCTTTTTCATTTTTTGTCTTGAAAAAACTGATCTAGAGCAGGTGAGAGATAGGCCAAAAAGATGCATGTGAAACCGGTTTGAGAGCGAGTGAGTTACATGGACTGTATTACATCCTGCAGTTGCATTTTTGAAGTTTGACAACTACTGTAGGTACCCAAACATTAATATAAAGAACTGAAATGTTTCTATGTTGTTAAATTTAGTCAACATATTCATTCAACTTCTGCGAGTTGAATGTAAACTAAGCCAAGAAATAAAAAACGGTCTGAAAGAATTTCTCAAATCCTATAAAAGACCATTCATGTGCTACAAAGTAAACATAAATGTAAGTTTTAAGATAGCAAAAATTTTAAACAGATTGAACTAGTAACCACAACCAGTCAGTCTAAAAGGTTTATTTCACGTTCACTGCCTGGCTAAAAGAAGTAGACACTCTAAATGTACTTCTGAACGGAGAAGAAATTAACATGTACCAAAATGAATGCAAATATATGCAGATGTCTGCTATCAGGCTGCATGCTTCTTTTTTACTCAAACCTTTGGTCTTTTAAAACTGCTGGCAGACAAACAGCAAGCTACTTAAAATTCATGAAACATTTATTTAATTCTCCAGGCTGGGTACTTCTTTCGCTTTGCCTTCTCCTCTTATGCTCCGCTAGTTTGACATTCATCACAAGAGCTTTGGACATGATGTGTGGCCCTTGACAGATCACCCTCATGCATCATCCACATTGTTCCTCCAGGTCAAGGCACCAGCCGCCCGGGCCACTGAAACTGACAACAGCCATAAAAGTGGGAGGAGAGTATTACTGTATACCAGGCCAATGACAGAACCACAACAGACACACAATAATTGAATAGTCATCACATGCATACAGGCAGGTCATTCAGTTAAAAAGCACCAACACGTAACCTATAGGGATTAATAGGCAAAATCAAACCAAAACTTCTTTGCACAACTTCTGATAGGCCTATAAAAGGAAAACAAGAACATAAAATGAAAAGCCTTGCCCTGCATTAGCAAAGAATATCAAGAAGAATTGCATGTGTAAGATTCTTAACAAATTATGTTCTGACTTTTACTTGAGTTAAGTTTTTGACAGAAAGGAACCTAAACAAGATAACAAAAAATTACAATGAAAAATGTTATCATACTGTAGCAGTGTTTTCTATTTTAAATGTAGACAAAAAAAATACAAGATGCAAAAAATAAACAAACCCCTTGAAAAGTGCTTGAACGACGCAAACGGCTCAATCTGCTCTCACTAATTCAACACAACCCAACACACACACAGGTCTGGGCACTCGGACCATACACCTCTCTCCTACCTCTCTGAGCTGAAGGCTACTTCTTCAGCGCTTCCCTTTTGAATAGCGTTTTAAATTGAATAAGGTTTGTACAAATAATCTATTGCTCATCCATAGACACATTCTCAAATTCAAGTCAAATATCTAAAGTTACAAGCCATAAAATAACATTTTTGTGCAAGAAAGATTGAAAAAGTGGTTTAAATAACGCCTGGGAAACTAAATCGCAGGCTGCCACTCCACAACCCTGAGAGTGGAGCCAGTAATCATTGTTATTGACAAACTAAAGGTTCAAATGGGCTCCATAATGGCCACTCAACAACTCCTTTGATTCTCCAAGTCATTTCTTTGCTTTCTTCAGTTGCAGCGTGACTCGGACTCACTCCATCGCCTTCACAGCCCATCTCATTCCCATCCGCCGATTCAGCCGGGGCCAGCTGTCCATCGAATAGCTGTGCCATGTGAATGACGGAGGCTGCAGTGAGAACCAGTGGAGCGCTCAACGCGTAGAAGCAGCTTTGAAATGCTGTAGGTTCTTTTCTCCAAACTCAGGCGCGTGTTAAAGTCCTCCACGCCCTCCGCTGCGCACTCCTCCCCTACCGCACCGACCCTTTAGTTCCGATTCTCACAACAGTTGCTCACTCGTCCGTGCTTTCTCCCTTAAAAATCTAGTCAAAGTTTCCCAGATTTCTCAGCAAAACCAAAGTCTTAAACACACTATTTGTTCCATTTAAACACATTCCGTCATCTGTCATTTACTTTACAGATACACGCGCCTGTCTGGCCATATGGCTGCGGGAACAAGGAAGGAAGCTAAATGCCACCATTATCGCGAAAGGAGTAAGCGTTCATGTACACAAAATTCAGCAGTTGACCCTCTGCCATCAGCGTTCTGCTCCACACAAATGCCACTTAGGGTACCGGAGGAATAAAGAGGGTATTTAACCCCAGGGACATGCTGCAACCATCTGTTTTTTCAGAGCTTAACCTCACACGCGCCTTCACTGTCTGCTGTATTTGGTGACAAGGCAAAAATCAAACAAGAGCATTCATCCGAGGAACAATGAAGCAATCCCTATCCTGTCTTTGCTCTTTCCGCACAGACCATATGTCTCCAGATTCTTGTTTTACTTTGTTCAAAATGGGGCCGGACTGGCCATCTGGAACAGTGGTAGTCTCCCTAGTGGGATAGGTATGACTTTGCTTCAATTAAAACAAAATTAAAATTTGTCTTGAAACTTCCATTAAGAAACAGGTGGAGTACAGATGCGTGTGGGCTGGTCTCACCTTAGCTATGGTCCCTTTTAAGTAGGGGCAGAAAAAACCCAGGAACAGTTGTGACGGTAGCAATTAACATTTATCAAACGGCAAGTCACTTGTCAAAAAAAAACTCCATGAAAAAATAAAAATAAACAGTGCATAGAACAATACTAAAACATGGCAAATGAAATGACTCATACAAGTGCACATCTGGAATAGCTGTGGATTTGGATTGAAACATTATTTAGCATCCTAACAAGAGCTCCTCGGACAGCCTTTTACCCCCACATAAAATACTCATTGACTAACAATAGTCGCAGCTCGACATGAAATCTTATGACCGCAAATGTAGGATTGCCTGAAGAATGGACTTAAAAGTAACGGCTCGTCACCAACTGTGTAAAACAGAGCTGTGTGAACATGAATATGCCATTCCAACAGAGCCTGAACTGTATGCCAACAACCATTGTAATTTAATTCAAGTTCCCATTCACGCAACGTAAAAGCCCTCATCTACATTTAATGCAGCATTTAGTACAATGACTCTGCGTTTACAGTCCTTTAACAGGTGTCACAGGGATTGTGTGCCATCAAAGGCAAATGTCATGGTGAAGTGGGGATTACACTGTATTACTTTCAGAATAATACTTCAGGGCCACAGGCAATGCTGAGAATAAGTGTAATCTGCTGTGGCCAGTGTCCATCTGGACCAGCAGCAGCTTATTCCCATAAACTCCTCTTATTCTCTCGCTGCCCAGGACTCAAACTAAACCACGTCACAGTCCAGCAGAGAGCAGAAATTTGCCCATTCACACATCCATGTAAATGAAGCCACCTCGGGCCCCTGACCAATGCCCAGAGAAGTGTTCGCGACCTGCCATGCGAAGAGACAGCTGAGGCTATACAGCACACAAATGGGCCGCCTGCTATGTCTCCTCCATTTCAAAACTGTTTATGGCTTTAGAGACATAATAGCCATGTGTTTGATGTCCTGTGCCACTTTCCTCTTAGAGG